TCAACTTTTGGCAACTGGACATCGTGGGGAAGCTTAGGCAAAGTAGAGCTTGACATGCTGTTTGTGATAGGTGTTTCAATATTTACGAATCTCAGCAAGCCGTTGCTAGGCTCGAGAGGATGATCCAGCCACGCGGCTCGCCCCTGAGTTCTCCGAGCCCGACTCGACCGGCGCTGGAGAGGCGAGAGTTGCGGTCAGCCGTCGGCCGGCCCTTCGCCTGTACCCAGTAATTAGGCAGCGTCGCCGGACAATTATTATCCTGTCTCGGCGCGCCGTATATATCCAGGCCGATCTGACGCGTCGGGCCGATTTATTTAGATCGCGCCCCAGCCGTGTGCGATGGGAGGAATTCCGCTCTCCTCTCTCCTCCGCCGCCACTGCGGTTCAGATATCATCTCAGCAGCGCGGCTGCCCATATTTTGGTGGCAATTTAGAGAGGGCGGGACGGTGGGCAGACCGGCCGCCAGCCTCTGCTGAGCTGTGGCTGAGGCCGCCCCGCACCGGGCGTCCCCAGACCCAGAGGAGCCGCTCCCACAGCAGGGAGATTGCAGGGCACGGGAAGGGCTATTAAATATTGATGAAGAAATGCGTTTTCTGGAACGAGTTGCGTCCGGTAGACCGGGGATGAATAAACAGGAGATTGGAGAAAAGTTTTATGAGCTGCCGGTGGTTAAAGTTGGAGCCAAAGGCACAGGCGCGGATACAAGGGGGGGGGCCATGGGGGCCATGGCCCCCCCCCCTTGGCCGATTTTTTTCAAAAATAAAATAAAAAGTTAAAAAGTTAAAAAGCTGAAAAGGGGGCCTCCTGAAAATAAAGTGGCCGAAATCCGATGAGTTTTTTTTTTAACCTACCCACTTAGTTATTTCTTAGAAGACTAGCTGAGAAGACTTCTTTGTTAGAAGATTGGTAAAGCTTTTCATAACTTGGAGGTCTCTTATACTCACAGAGATGACCACTTTTACAGGGCCTCCTAACCTGCACAGAGGGCCTCCAAGCCTGCACAGATGTTGAGATGTTGCCTGAACAGCTAGATAAGCTCAATAGACGCAGTTTTTTTTGGGGGGGGCCCAACAAGTGGGAAGATGGGGCCTCCAACAGGTGGGATTATGGGGGGGGGGCCTCCTGGTTTCTAATGGCCCCTCCCTTGGAGATTTTCTGGATCCGCCCCTGCAAAGGCAGCTAGGTATTATTCGGATTTACTGCCTCTTCCTGGGATTGATAAATAATGCATTAGGAAGTAAGCATAACAATATCCGGAACATCACTATGTACCAAGTTGTGATGATCTTACCAATGCTTGCAGTTGAAGTTTATCATGCACCAAGAATTGAGTGAAATATTCCTGAAATAATGCAGCTGGCTCCTATGAGAAAATGTTATCCATTTTTGTCATTGATGCGGTGTCGACAATAAATATCCTTATCTTTTTTGGTATTCGCATTTAAACCATATGTTCTATTATCTCTATGGATTAGAAAAAAAAAAACATTCTTCACATGCTTATGGAGAGATCAGTATGCGATTTTTTAATTCTTACATTTTGGAAGCTAGTTATTAACATCATCTGAACATGGTGTTCGCGTGATTTTAGAAGTCCATTCCAAGATTAATTAGTGCCTTTAGATCGGCAAGTGTTTTGCGCCCTACTGAACGCACGTACGACGCCTCCAGCCTTGGCGAGACACAGGTGAAGAGATAATTGTAGACGAGGAGCGGATCTAAGCCGAACAGAGATTCAGGAGGTAATTATCTCAGCTGAGAGGACGTCATCCGGACGGTAGTGACGTCATCCGGTGAGCAGTGACGTCATCAGGTCAGATGGGAGCGCCTTTGGATCTGAGAAATTCCATCACTCCATCTGCTCTGATGTAATTGCTGCTTTTGGGCAATCAACTATCGAAGGCGTGTGTATTTTGGCTTAATGGTGACATCGATGCTCCATTGAATTGCCATATGGCGCAATGCAATGGTCAGTGCGCTGTCAAATATATTGCATTAACGCACTTTGCAAAAGAGTCATGAACCCTCCTGCTAAAAACGTTCCGACCAAAACTGCATTGCGATTTGACTTCTCACGAGGCCTCTTGACGCATTGTCAGAAAACAAAATTACAGGTCGGAAACAAGCGCTGATGAGTAAGACAGCGTTAATAAACCAGCTCAAATCACCTACTGGGGCTGTTGCCGCTCACAAACCAAGCTTACAGAGTGCGAACAGGCGCCATTACAAGGTGTTCCGCTCACACTGGAACGAGCGTTAAGCGCTGCTCGAGCTCTTTAGCCACGCGTCGGTGTAACCCTGCCACTCCCCATTATAGCACGGTATAGCGACCCACACCGGGCGAAACGGGGTGCAGTGACGGGCGGAATTGATTCATGTCGCAGAATTTATTTCGCCGCAGTGGGGCGGCCACCTTTCCACACAGCCCACCTCCCTCTAATTTTCTGATAGCCACCCACATGAGCATATTTCATTTCTGTCCGTCTAGCTAACCGAAATAGGCACCATGATTATCAAGCGATATTCTGCGATGTATGCATGAATATTGGTGAAGTTAGCATCAAAGAGAGGCTTCAACCTTCATCGAAACTTTGGGAAAGATGAACAGCCATCCAACGATCAGCTACCAATGATTAGAGTTGACCGTGCCACCCAACATTAACTCTCTACCCGAAGTCTGCAACGACTATCTCTGATCACAGAGGCTCGACCCACGTCGCACTGTTAGTGGACCGTCGCGTCGGAGCCGTTGCGCCGGTGCCGTCGGCCGCTGGCACGTGACCTGCCGTCCCGAAACAGAGCTATAAAGCGCCGCTGACGAGCTGCCCGGTCCAACCGCCCCGGGGCACGCGACGGTGACCTGCCCCCGTCGGCGGGGACCGCTGGCAGCCAATAGGGAGGTCTAATGGGTGAAGAACGGGCGGCCGTCAGGAGCGGACAGGAGGAATTTGGACCGGCCGCCGCACGCCGGCCGGCTGGCGACACAGGCGGGCTTATGGGGAGGGTTTGTTGAAATGGTTCGGAGACACGCACTTTGCATAAGGTACTTGGTTATTTCTGTATCCACCTATAGGTGGTTGAATATTTTCGGAAGCTGATGTAGCAAAAACCGACAAGAATAAGCGAAACCGGGGCTCATTGGAAAGAGCCAGTATCCCCCAGAATATCTCCCACCAGGTGTCAGCACTGGCCTGCAACGAGCGTGCAACTGCACACGGCTCCCATTGCTCTGCATGCTCCGCCGCCGCCGCCGCCGCCGGTACCTCGCGCCGTGCGGCTCGCGCTCGTCCAATGGCCGAGTGCGGGGGGCGTGGCCGAGGCCGGCGCGTCCTGGGGGCGTGGTCGCGCCAGATTGAGCGCGGCACAAAAACGCGCCAGAGACGGCACAGGGAATACTGATGGCGCAGGGAGAGAAGAAGGAGGAGAGGAGGAACGGTCGATGGGAGATGGAGCAGGGGTGGGGAGAGGGACGGTCGATGTGGGAAGGGGAAGTCAGAGGGAGACGGATGGGAGAGACGGGAGCCGGGAATAAAGACGTCTCGTGCTGGGGCCTAAAAAAACAAAACACATGATGCAGTAGTAAGGTATAGATAATTTGCCGCCCAAAGTGTTCTACCATCTGGCATTGATGGCCTGAGATGGAATCCCCTAGATGTTACTTGTTCGTGCTTCTCACCTGTTACGCCAGTCGCCACCTCAAATTTCATAAAATTGCTAATTGTAAGGTAGCCCAATGTTAAAAGTCAATGTCCTTTTTATGAGAAGCTCCCATAGTATAAGGAATGTTGGACCACCCACCCGCCGTTCATTCATTCAAAATTCCGAGAATCGCCGTTTCATATGGGAAATTTCCCGGGGAGCGAACGGCTATAAACAAAGCTACTTGAAATGCTCTCATCGTAAAACTAATGATGTGGTATTTATTAGCAGTTTGAATTAGTAGCAGGAAAATTGCCGGATTTATGGTCTCATCACGGCCGTTTATGTAGATGCCGGTACATGAACATATGCACACGTCGTGAGTGGACCGGCGGCACTTAGGGCCCTGACGAGTGGCTTTATTGCATGGACACGGACACATAAATCAAAACGGAAGAAGTGTTACCAAAACGCCATTTCAGAAATATAATGGCCCATTTGCATGTGCTTGTCCATTCTGAGACGGCCGTCCTAAATCATGGCACCCCGTCGTTATGATCCCATCTGTAAGTGAATATTCCTTCTCATTTCGAATCTTAAATTGCTGTCTTATTTCTCATGTTTAACAAGCGAGAGTTCTGTTGCAACCTGCTGCCTCCTGCAATGTTTAGAGTAATTATGCTTTGCGTGGTGTCTCAAATTGCAGAATGCACAGACACTCAGTATGCCAAATTCGCAGGAACCAGTTGAGGGGTTTCCCCTTGCCTTTACGCTGAACTCCTGGTCGCTGATCATTTTTTTTTTTGCCCTTCAGCCCAAGATACCTTCAAACACATTCAACCGGCTCAATTATTGACTGTTGACCGTCCACCTCATCCTTTTCACCGCTGATCCACTGCCCATTCGCCTTTCTCCCGTCCATCCCTTCCACTGTCCACTATCCACCCCGCCTCGTCTGCACCCTGTCCCGTCCACCATCCACCGTCCACCGCGTCCACCCAGGGACGCCACTGGTCGCCACTCGCTCCGTTCCAGTCGAATAGTCCACCGACAGCCTCACCGTTCCACAGTGGCAGCTTCCCAACGCTAAACACCACGTGCGCGCGGCAAACTGACGCGAAATTCGGCCGCTTTTTAACCGCCTTTGATCGGATCAAACGGGCCGAACCAAGGCCGAACCGACATGCCCTGTGGCGGCCGGATGACGGTGACATATCCAAACACGTCCGTACCCCCTCCAGGTGGGGGTGGGGGGGGGGGGCAGGTGTCGTTTTTGTCAAACGTCGGTCGAGCACGACTGGCGGCGTCGGACGTGCGTTTCACGAGCCGCGCTAGGTCACCACGCTAGTAGATGGCTGTAACGAAATTCGTTCCTACCCCGTCCTCCACCTCCCTCTGTACCTACTTACTGCCCAGCCCCCTCGCCCACTTACAATACCCTTATATGGTCCTCACTCCTCACCTGCGACGCCTGTCCTCGCCCGCTTCTGATTGGTGCTATGATATGACGTACATCTATATGTATGACGTGTGTGTATGACGTTTGAATATAGCGGCCGACGCCGAACGCCGAGCAGTAGCTGTGAAAGGATCAATCGAAAGCCAACCGCCGTAGCGGCCTGACGTATCGTTATTCAAAGTCTCGGCCGACTGTTTATTACTTTTGGATTCTGTCGTCAAATTTGCAATACATACTTCAAGAAAAGAAAAACCGTGTTGGTTATACGGCTCGAACAAGAGGTCCCCAAACAGACTATCACAGAAGAAGAAATTGTTTATTTACTTTTTACATTTGTTACAAATGGTGCCGTGACCCGGATCAAATAAAAAACTCAAGAATTGAAATTGGTTCCGCAAGAAATTGCTCTACAAGTCTACGAACAGTAAGCTGTCACTCTTTCCTATCTTTTCCCTGAACGTCTTCGCCCACATTTTCGCTTTCGATTGCTCAACTGTTATTGTGCCTGTGTACATTTGTGTAATTTTTGCATTGTGTGACTGTTATCTCCGCAGATGTTTTCGTGTGTCAACTGAACTGTTTATTTGTCAACGCTCCATAAACACCACTTGTTTGTATTCGCTGATTGATTTATACTTACCAGAGTTTTCAAAATGTCTGAGGCAGTCATCACCAAAGCGCTCCAAAATATTTGTCAGGAACTCCGTATTCAGGGTCTAACTCAGCACATCCGAACATTCTCCGGGGAGGGTTCCGCCAAATTCGCCCAATGGTTAAACGACATGGATCAGATATCTATTACCTGCGATTCAGAGCGTATGTGTGTTTTGGCGACCATCACTTTAAACGGATCCGCTGGTGCGTACGCTTCACGCATGCTAAAAGAAAACCCCCAAATCACGTGGTCGGAACTCCGACGCAAACTAAAGGAAAGGTATAGCGAAATGACTGATCCGTACCTGGCTTCGGAAAAATGCAGACGTCTAAAACAGAACCGTGGTGAGTCGGTACAAAATTTTGCTGAAAAGCTGCGGACAATGGCGTCGGAGGCATTCGAAAATCTCTCTACCCCTGAGGCGCAACGCTTCCTAGTAGAAGTGTTCCAAAAAGGCGTGAGCGACGACAGCTTGGCGCGAAACTTGATCAGGAAAAGATTCACTAACCTCGACGACGCCCTCGCTTTCGCTGAAAGTGAGCAGCAGGCCGACAGGACTTTCCAAGTCTGCCGCCATCACTCCCCTCCTCAGTCCGACGTCGAACCCATGGACTGCAGCGGTATTCAGTCCGCTACAGACTCTGAGCTTCGGACCACTATTCAGAATCTAACCTCCCAAGTGCAGCGAATGTCTCGCGACATCCAAAAACTGAAACCGCAAAAACGTGCTCAGACCGCCCCACCGCAGGTGCGTTTCAACGTACCTCCGACTACTCCCCCACCGACTTACTTCAACGTTCCCCCGACAGCTCCCCCGCAAGTCCGCTTTGATGTTCCACCCCCGCTGATGTCGTACTATGGCAACGTACAAACTCCCCCTCAAGCCCCTCCGACTCCCAGACCGAACTACCAGTGGACTGAAGATGGATCCCCCATCTGTATCGCTTGTGGCACACCTGGACATGTACGCCGTACGTGCCGACGCAACTCCACCCGTCCTCCTCCCCAAAGTACCCAGGGAAACGCGAACGCGCGTCTCGAAAAATAGCGACCAGAAACGCGCCAAAGAAAGACGGTCCGAAACGGAAAGTTTCTACAAAGAAACCTGGACCGCAAGCAGCACAAATTAAAATTAAACCTGATACGCCGATGTGCTATGTATCTCTGAGCGACCAAAAAGCCTATTCGTTAGTAGATTCAGGAGCGGACATATCCCTTATTTCACGTGAAGCTTTTGATAAAATTCAGTGCAGGAAAATCAAGGGTTTTTCTACGAGGAACTGCGTTCCTATTCGTTCTATCTCTGGTCATAGACTCACAAACTTCGGAACGGCCGTACTACAAGTCAAAATTGCAGGATTTAATCAACCGTTCAAATTCCAAATCGTAGAAGGTCTGAAAAACGACTGTATCCTAGGCAACGACTTTCTCTCCGCATTCGGTGTTCAATTGGATTTTGGACAAAAGACGATGAACCTCAACGGTAACGTCATCCCTCTGCGACCGCAACGTCTGACTTGCCAAACGACGACATCTTTGGTTCGAGTGCCTCACAAAGTTACAATTCCTGCTCAGTCGTATATAGAGATTCCTGCGTTAGTCAACCGTGTTCAATTGCTAGATCAAGATTGTATAGTTCAACCTTTGAGCAATGCACCCGTTCTAGGAGAAGAACCTGGTTTGTGTTTGGTTGAAAGTGTAGGTCACGTAGACAAAAACAAGCGTATTACAGTCGTGATAGTGAACGCCACTGGTAGGGATTACGTTTTGCCTTCTCGATCAGTCATTGGCATTGCGGAAGTTTTAGAAGACCCGGAAGGATGCATATTTACAGCTAGTGAGGAAGGTGACCAGTGTAGTGAACCGTCAGATGACGTCCCCGAAAGTCAAAAAGCGCTATTGTCACATGTGTCCGAAGATCAACGTAAAAAGATACAAGACTTCTTGGCCCAAAATGAGGATTTGTTTGCAAAAAGTGATTTGGATTTAGGTTGTACTGATTTAGTGAAAGCAACAATTGAAACTGGTGATCATCCACCAATTAAACAGCGACCTTACCGGTTGCCTTTCAGTCAGAGAAAACTTGTAGAAGAGCATATCCAGAAAATGTTGCAGGCTGGCATCATTTCCCCTAGTCGTAGTCCCTGGTCTAGTCCGATTGTGATTGTAGATAAAAAGGATGGACAAAAACGGTTTTGTGTTGATTTGCGTGCTTTGAACAAGATCGTTGTCAAAAATAGTTACCCTCTTCCGCGCATAGACGACATTTTGGCTTCGCTTGAAGGTGCGAAATATTTCACTTCTTTAGATCTCCGCAGTGGGTACTGGCAGATAGCCATGGATCCCGAGTCAAAGGCCAAAACGGCATTCACTTGTTTCATGGGCCAATACGAGTTTGAAAAGTTATGTTTTGGGTATGTCAATGCACCCAGTCTATTTTCAGAGCTTATGAATAAAGTACTGTGGGGCATTCAACACAAATTTACTATTGCGTATTTGGATGATATTTTGATTTATTCAAAAACCTTTGAGGAACATTTAGAACATATAGATGCAGTCTTTTCACGTTTGAGAGACGCTGGCTTGAAATTGAAGATGTCAAAATGTGAGTTTTTGAAACAAGAAGTAAAATACCTAGGCCATGTAGTTACTCCATCTGGTATCAAACCGGATCCCGAGAAAATAAGTGCAATACAAAATCTCCGTCCTCCGACAAATGTCAAAGGCGTCAGATCATTCCTTGGTATGTGTGGATTCTACAGGCGATTCGTTCCAAATTTTGCAAGGATAGCCAAACCATTGACCGAGCTAACAAAGAAAAATCGTCGTTTTTATTGGGATGATGCATGTCAGTCTTCGTTTGAAACTCTTCGTTCAGCTTTAACAGTTGCACCAATTTTGGCATATCCGAACGTAGATAAGCCGTACAAGTTATATACTGACGCGTCACAAAACGCCATAGGTGCTGCGCTAGTCCAAGAGACTGAATTGGGTGAAAGAGTCATCCAATATTTGTCGCATCAGCTCAACGAAACCCAGCAACGCTGGCCTACTATCGAGCGAGAAGCTTATGCGATTGTATATAGTGTACAAAAGTTCCGTCCCTATTTACTCGGTTGTAAAGTTACGATTATGACGGACCACCAGCCCCTCAAGCACCTGTTCACCAGTGAAATGAAGAATGCTAGGATTCAACGTTGGGCGATTATATTAGATGAGTATGGATGTGATATACAGTATATTAGTGGACGTCAGAATGTAGTTGCAGACGCATTGTCGCGACTGGACACCTCAGGAGAGGATTGTCACACGGATATCCCAGGAAATGGATTAATGACTAGTGAGTCATTACCGTGCCATGTCGACGAATGCGTAGACACATTCGGTGTAAATAATGAATCTTCGTGCAGTGTGAATGTGATTGATTCCGATAGAGCGCCTGACATTCAAGTAGAGACTGAAGTGCAAAGAAGTGAGTTACCTGAGGCTCCTCCCAAGGAAAAATTCAAAGAGTTTTTACAAGGACATCCCGACCTTGGTTTACTTCAGAGAGAGGATCCCGAGATCCAACAATTGATCAAAGTATTACAGGACCCAAATCATTCGAACCATGCTGTAGTGTCTCGTTATTATATTTTGGAAGACGGTCTACTATATCGAGTTTCTGATCCGTCCAAATACCCCTCATTTCCAGGTTTGCAGTTAGTTATTCCCAAGCCCCTACAGAAACTGATCATCGAAGAAATTCATTCAGGCTATTTCGGCGGACACTTAGGTATAGATAAAACGTACGACAAGATCCGTTCACGTTATTTTTGGTCCGGTTTATATCGAGACGTTGTTCAGTATTTAAAAACATGTGTCGCCTGTAATATGCGGAAGCTCAGACGCGAGCGACCCCCTCTGCAAGATATGCCAATCCCAAAATTTCCTTTCGAGCAGATCGCAGTAGATACGTCCGGTCCGTACCCTGAAAGTTTCCAAGGAAACCGGTACATTATTACTGTCATCGATTTATTTTCTGGATGGCCAGAGTCGTTCGCTACCTCATCAAAAAGTGCAGAAACGGTTGCTCAAATTTTATTAGAACATATCATCCCTCGCCATGCTTGTCCTAGAATTATGATTTCAGACAATGGTACAGAGTTTTGTAACGCCGTCATAGACCAAATTACAACTTTTAGCAACATTAAACATATCCGAACTTCCGTTTACCACCCGCAATCGAACGGCAAATGCGAAAGATATAATCGAGTTCAGAACGACATGTTAGCAAAGTTAGTGAGTAAATCTCAACGTGACTGGGACACAAAGCTTCCTTCAATCTTGTCTGCTTATCGCACCGCGAAAAACGAGACTACCAAGTATTCCCCTTTCTTCCTTCTTTACGGTCGTGACCCTGTTCTACCACTCGATAGCATTTTATCTCCAAAATATCGTTACCAAGGTGAAGATTACGTACCTACCATGCTCGAAAACATGCATTCTGCCTACAGTCATGTGCGTCACAACCTAGTACAAAGTCATGAGAGAAACAAATTTTATTACGATCGTACCGCCAAGCCAACGAAAATCAAAGTCGGTGATATGGTTTACTTCAGAAACCCTACAGAGGCGACTCAAAATGCTTCCAAACTGTCGTGCCATTGGAAACCTTTTTACCGCGTTATCAAAGCCATCAACGACGTAACGTTTGTCATTAAGAACCAGCTGTCTGGCGATGTCAAAGTAGTGAACGTTCATAATTTGAGATTCGCTGATCCAGATACCCTTTGGGAAAACGTGACAGAAGAACCACATCATATCAACAGCAAGTACGAAAGTAAACAGAAGTCGTTTATCCCGGTTCCACTTCGTGTGCAGCCTCCACGTCAATCAAAGTTCTCCTTCGCTGATACAGAAATGCATAATACTGAAACAGTCACAGATCGGTCTTTTCGTGATTCAACCCCCAGTTCGATATCAAACCCTGTTGAAACTTACGCTCCAGCGAAACCGTCGCCGAGTGAACAAAATTACCCACCTTTACCTGAAGATTCTGATTCCGATGCAGATCTTGACGTGCCGTTATCCGAAATGCGAAAACGATGGAGAGAAGAAAAATCGAAAGACAATAGTTCTGACGACGAGAATATTCCTTTGTCCCAATTAGCAAAGCGCCTGAGAACGGAAAAGTTATCTGATCCATTCGAAATTGAACCTACCCCTATGAAAAGACCACTCACCCGTACAGAATCAGAGTCGAACGACATGGATGCAGAAGCGCGTAGCCCTCCTTCAAAATTACAATGTGCCGACCAAGACCATGAATCGGATTCAGACGAATTGGACGCCGATGGTGTACATATTGAAAAGGAGCAGATGTGTACTAACCCACGTGTGAAAGAAGCCCTGTTAGTTAAGATGCTGAAAACGCATGAGAAGCTGATGACCGACATGTTCAAACAATTAGAGAAAATGTAAAAAGGTTCCCCGGCCCACTGAGTTATTACAGGTCGGACGACAGCCGAATGTCTACAGTATTGTGTGGAACCCAGCTAGTACGATGAAGGCTGAACGGCTGTATTGTGTTATAGTGTTTATATAGATTATGGATCCCGGTTTGTATGCCGAAGACAACGTAATCGCGGTACCACGTTGTATTGTGTTTAATGATATACCGACTCTGGCTAGTATGCCACAGCCATTTATGTGTTGTTCATTTTACGTTCGGTCAGTGAACCGTTCAATTGTTCGTGTACTAACCTCATGTTTGCGAAATGTTGATAGTTGTTTGTGTGTGTTCCAGAGATGTGGGCAAGACCGTTCTTCCTGACATTCCTGTTCTATCTGACATCTCCGACAACGGCCAACGTTCTCTTCCTGCCCCGAGGCCATCTCTACGCTTCATACGACCACTGGACTCTTCACATCCCCATCGAAACCAGGACATTATGGACGTTTGTATTGAAGCTGGAGCATCATGTGAAGCTCTTTAAAAGTAAAGTCAGTAGTATATTTGCAGAGCACCGCCAACAATTGCGAAGTGACCAGGCAATTCAGCTTTTTGCTAAGTTTAACCAGAGCGTAAAAGTTATTGACATTGTAATAGATACTTGGTCAAATGCGGTACTTGTTGATTTTTCGGAAACTAATGTTTCACTCCCCGAAGCCGTAAACTTCATTCCCCCACTTCAGGACAAAAGTGTCCATTTGTCTAACTTGAAGAAACATATTCAACAGATTCGAGTACGCAATGCTCAGCATAATAAAACTGTCGTTATCCCCGCCATCTCGGTCACAACGTGTATTGTGGTTGCGTTAGTGCTATTAACTGTTCTATACGTCCGATGTCATGTGTTTAAACCCATTATGATCCGACCCCAGAAAGTATCCGCTCAAAATCCTGCCCCTGACAGCGTTATTGTTGAAGAAACGTCAAGTGTAGCTCCAAATATCAAGCCCCGGGAAAAACTCACGGACCCAAGTCCCTCGTGCTTAAAATGGTTAAAACCGTCTCCAACCCTCGCTTCTCAGAAATCCGCAGATGCCTGATGCAAATATTTTCCAGAGGAGTTCTTTCTCCGCAGCAGAGGTACCAGTAGCGGCGCTCCCACACTCGGTCGAGCCGCCGCCGGTGCTAGTCAGCGCCACTGAGATCGGGCCGCCCCGCATCGGACACCCCACGTCCGGGCGCCCCGATAAAACTACGCTGACGCGTGGTCTGGTCAGCCGACACCGGACGGACGACCCACAACAATACGCGAGACGTGAGAACGTCAATGTGTCAATATCTGACACACGATCTGGTGTCAATGGACAATGGACGGACAAACACGTGTCAGACAGCAGCGTCAAAGGTGACCTAAACCCTCTGAACTCTCTGAACTCCCTGAACTGATGTGCCCGCAGCGGAATTTTACCAGTGATTGCGAAGCGAGAACCGAATCGATGAGCACGAGTGGGACAGTAGACTATGTTTCGTAAGCGGACAATGAAGAAGACTCTATAGACTTATAGCTACGAGGACTACAACGAAAAAGAACGGGAAATTGTGTGTTGAGGTGCTGTGTATATTGTTGTGTTAGGTGTTGTTTGTGTTGTGTCGTGTGTTGTGTACGTTATATCATGCATCATATTAGGAGTATCCCAAGCCGAAAATTTTGGTCAAAATTTCAGCTTTAAGGACCTCGCGTTGTGTTGTAACGAAATTCGTTCCTACCCCGTCCTCCACCTCCCTCTGTACCTACTTACTGCCCAGCCCCCTCGCCCACTTACAATACCCTTATATGGTCCTCACTCCTCACCAGCGACGCCTGTCCTCGCCCGCTTCTGATTGGTGCTATGATATGACGTACATCTATATGTATGACGTGTGTGTATGACGTTTGAATATAGCGGCCGACGCCGAACGCCGAGCAGTAGCTGTGAAAGGATCAATCGAAAGCCAACCGCCGTAGCGGCCTGACGTATCGTTATTCAAAGTCTCGGCCGACTGTTTATTACTTTTGGATTCTGTCGTCAAATTTGCAATACATACTTCAAGAAAAGAAAAACCGTGTTGGTTATACGGCTCGAACAAGAGGTCCCCAAACAGACTATCACAGAAGAAGAAATTGTTTATTTACTTTTTACATTTGTTACAATGGCCGATCACACGCAGGGTTATATGGGACTGTCTATTGTTGAATAAGAATATATGATGTTACCATCCTGGCATTATTCCTTGCTAGCCATCCAGATGGAGCAGAAGACAGTTATTGGCTTTTTTGTGGAAGGCAAATGATCTTTGGTTTGGCGCAAACCGCTAGCGAAAAGGGATACAAAAAAACGCGGCCCAATGTCTAAACTTTCCTAAAGACTGCAAAGTAAGAAAGGGACTAGGTATCTCTTCCAGTTTGAATCTACCGACTACACATGCAATCATTGTTTCAGAAGCAAGCTGTTTGCTGTTTGTCATATTCCCTGTCCCAACCTCCGCCCTTTACTGCCGACTGCATAGAGTCTGCGATCCCGCGCTGCACTGAGTGATCTGTTTACCAGTGTCTGCACGGACCGGCGCGGGCCGCTGTCCAACACAGAAGACGGTGACACCGTGACCTATCCCGGCCAGCCTCGCCGGCCCCACCGCCGCCACACCCCATAATTTGGCCGTGTTTTTACGCGCCAAAACAGGATAATTATCGCGCGCGCACGTGTAATTAGTGCGCAGGCGCCGTGGCCTCCGCACTACCTTCCGGTGGGCCCGTGTTGAATAGAGCCAAGAGCAGACAAACAGTTTTGATAAATAAATTGTGAGAAGAAAACGTTACAGTTACAATGCTCAGGGTGTGATGAACTAGTACCAGCTCTGAATTCGATTGCTAGGAAACTAAAAGCTAGCAAAATGAATGTTTGAAGATGTAATGTATGTTTCATTACAATTGTTTTGCAGCTTTGGAAAATAATTTACAAACAATTTTTTAATATCAGCACTGCATAATGGGCAGAAACGAAGCAAAATCGATTAAATGGCTGTCGGTGTTGTATATCATCAAATTTCTATTGAGCACATTTTTATTACAACCCCAAAACATGGCTCAAAAGCGAGCCACTTAGCTTTAAAACAGCCGATTCTCTCATCACAGGCCAAACCACCGCTGCGCCGATTATGTCACAATCAACACGTCAGAGGCCCTAAACGGCAACCCTTCAGTGCACCAGTCCAAACAATGGCCACCGGGGCAGAATGAGCCGTCTGCCGCGCTCCGGAGACTACAAACGCGCCCTGCATGTCTGAGCTGCGGCTCGTCCGGCTGCCGGGCGCGCTCTGCAGGGGTTAAACGCGCCCAATTGGAAACGCTTTTGTGGAGTTAACATGCGGCGCTCGTGCACCCACCTGGCTACATCCGGCCACGTATAATTATCCTTAGCCTCCTTTCATCCATAGAGATTGGAGGCCATTCATTTGTAGATGGCATTTTACACTGTATGCCTTTAAATTCGGAGCGTCGTGCCGCGCTCGAGCGCTATATCGGCTAATTTGGCCCGGGGATGTATTCAGGACGCGCGCTACCGACGGGGGGCGGAACCGGAGCTTTCAAAGGCCGTGGGGGAGGGGGGCATCCGGCCGGCAGCCACCTCCGCGGAATGCACCCCTCCCCTCCCCCCAAGCACGCGTCGAGTGAGAGTTGGCGCTGCTGACGAAGGTCTGATCTTCTGAAGAGGAAGATCTAAGACGAAGATGAAGAGGTTTGAGGACGTCCTGCTGAGAGGGGTGCGGCGGCGCGGAGGAGGCCGCTTCAGAGGTGGTCTCGTGCGCGAAACGTGGCAACAATGGGAGGAATGTGCCTGGCACGAGGGATGGATGAATAACGTGCCGCGGTACTGTGTCGAGAGTGGTTAAAGAGATGCACTCAAGGGCGAAAGAGGCTAGGATGTCCAAATCCATAACAGATCACTGCTAGTAAAATAAATCTTGCCCAATGTTCTGTCTTCGGGTATTGTACTGCTTTCTTTACGAATGTGTTTTATTGTCATACACCAAACCATTGATTTAAGAGCGGTGCTTGTACACCTGTTTGTAATAGATTAGTATCAGGGAAGTGTTTGACATGCACAATTTTATTGTACACTCACAAGATAAGATTTATAAAAGTGAAATTGTATGCGAATCGTGGGAAAATACCTAACTAAATCTTTGGAAGAATCGATCCAGCGCCGGTCCCTTTGCTGGTCCGGAGCCAGGTGGAGGGTTTGCCTTAGGAATTGGCCGCTCCAGTTTCCCCTATATTCGAGACCGTCTCTGCCACCCAGACGAACCACACTGGCGCCGGCCAGCCTGGTGGGCGGGGGCGGGGGCGGCCCAGGGGGCGGGGCGTCCGTGTCGGCGGCCCCCCTAATGACAGGGCGTGTCCGGTCGGCTCCACGCGTCCGGTCCGTCGAGACACCACGTGATTTATCAGGTGTGCTCAGCGCTGTTTTCTGTTGTAATGGTGTGTTTACGCCGCGGCGGCCCGGCGCAGTCACGTGACCGCGGCGAATCAAGACGCGCCGCGCGGCCGGGCGGTGCGTTTGATTCGGTGCTGGCCTCCCTGGATCAGAGGTGCCGCCCGGCCGGCTGGCGCGTGCTCCGGATTGGGGAGGGGGCGATACAGATTTGAGGGAAAACGGACGAGTTGTAGGGGAAATTGCCGAAAAACGCGAAAACTGAAACGGAGATCCGTTTAAAAATTGTGGGAAATATTTAAATGCTGACTGTGAAAAAAAAAATGTTGCTCAAAAGAAATGTAACATGCATTGTAAACGGAAGAGCTTTTGCAGCACTTGTTACGCTTTTTCGAAATCCATCGCAAGGCTGTAAATATCTTGCAAATCGCTGAATATTGACTATGTGTGCCAGTGGCGTCTCCACATCACAGCCTGTCCTAGTAACCATGAGAGCTCCACTATCACTTCCTGTCTTCCCCTCGTCACGCCCCCAGTAAATATAGCACCCGCTGACAGTAGGTATGCCAAGGCGTTACTGGCAGCCAGCTAATACTAGAAGACCCGAGACAACAGGCATGTCAACGGAGTCATATTCGTCATAAGGCACGTCATATTCGCTGCGCTAGCCCTGTCTCCTGACACAGCTGGGCTGGTTCGAAGCTCAAATATAGAGTGTAAATAGTTCAGTTTGTTCCTGACAATGGTGCATGGTTCTGCAGGTAACTGATAAGGTAGGTAAGTTCGGCAGGAATGGGGCAGCCCATTACCTCCAAAAAGGTAGTGATAACTGAAAACTGATAACAACTGTAGCTATACACGGTAAGGCAGTTTGTTTACTTTGATTGGATTTCAGTTTAAATCAGTTTTTAGCCGCCCTGCCTTGAATGTTATTTTTGGCAGCCTCATCATTCATGCGAAAAGAAGGGATGAGCATATGAAAAAAATGTAAAACAGGCAAGACAAACGATGGCGTAATTTTTTCATGATCTTGTCTTTCGTCTTTCGGCTTTTTCTGTTTTAAAGAAACCTGTCCAAATGCATGCGCAGTAGCTAGCTCCTTGGAATTCGCTGAAATTATAGTCCCCAATCAGCTTACTCCGTGGGCACCTGGTGTTGACCTTTGACCACTGGCCTCAGGTTCAGAGCGGTACTGTGAAGGCCAGAGGTCAACTCAGTTCTGGCAAACAATGATCAATGTCCTGAGACATGCTTTGCGTGACACTGTGGGTAAAGGAAAACGCGCTGCTTATGTGCGATGGCATGCATATGACCTATAGGGCAATGAAAAAATGGGGTTGTGACTCACTAGTAGTGGTTGATGTGGATCAAATGGAGAAACGTGGCAAAGGCATGAAGCATTCACTAGCAGATTGAAGAGGGCATTATGGGCAATTGTTCCTCTGCACAGTCCGGAAGGGCGAAATTTTGTCGTTTCCTTCGCAAGGAAGAAAAACAAAACAAGTATTTTAAGGAAAAGTTTGCTTCAAATTGCGCAGCAACCTATTAGGATTCAAAATCTTAGGAGTTTTGAAAATGTAAAAGATTTTTGGAAGTATTTTCCCTGTTCCCATGGCGTTCAACAACTCCTTTCTGGATCCGCAAGTGGAGCCTTTATCCACTATCCAGTGAATTTTACTAGTAGACATACCTCACATTAAAGTGCTGTTTTGTTCTATCGCACACAATCCAATCATGTTTGCCTATGCATGTCTGGCCTGGCTTTCCTAAATGTAGCCATTCGTCCAGCACTCAGCGGTCGCCCCCCCCCCCCTCCCCCCCCCCGAGACAGTCACTATTGACCGGCCATCACCACGAACCGTCGGCCATCGCTCCGTGACGTAATCAACTCTGCACCGGACAGCACGTGCACGGCTCCGCTCGTCTTCATTGCCGCCACGAGATTAATGAAATTTCGGCCGGCCATTCATCTAAATTTGCGTTGCCATAACTCAAAGTAATGGCCTGTCGTTTCTCAGAAGCCAACTGCGAGCCTACCCGGACACGAAAGCACGTGTGCAATGGCCCCGCGCTCCATTTTGCTGGCGTATGATCCCGCGACGAGCGCTGAA